GCCTTGGTTTATTAATCTTTTCCTGAATGGAAATCTCCAGAACAGAAAATACCACAGTGCTAAGGAGCAGAATCTCTAATCCCTATCAAAACCTCAGCAGGGATCTCGAAGCATAGTTCCAAGACATTCACAGGGTTGCCCATGGCTTTACTGACAGTTCAGTACTGTTTGGAAATTTGTGAGTCTCAAATTTGTTTGAGTGGTGACAGCCAGACGTGTCACATAATTTCAGAAATACCACTTTTAGGGTAAGCTGTCTTCTCTGTGAGGTTCTTTGCTTGTGGTAAGGGCTTCTTCATTCAATAACATAATGGTTTTTGAAGGTCTTGAGCAAGCAAAAACTGGACCTGCTGTTTGGTCCAGGGGTCCCTGAGGAAAAACTGGTATTTTCACAAATACTTGTTATTTGATACTTCAGAGATTTTCAATTAAAAGATAGTATATAGCTATTGTTTTCCACCAGATGTTAAGAAAGAAAACCTCATCCAGAATGCCTATGGCAGAGATCTCTTTGAAAATTAGCCCACAGTTTGGGGTGCAGGTCAGTGTTGGAACTGACTTAGCTTGTGCGAGGCTCTACTCTCGGCATTGCAGAAGCACAGCAGTCTCCTCTGAGGATTGTGTTAAAGGATTTATTTTTGTGGACTCCTTTTAACTGGATAATTTTTGCATTAGTGTCAGAATTTTGAAGGTAGAATTGTAGGGGTAAGAGGTGTTATACTTAAGCTGGATATGTTTCTTAATATGTGCAACTGGCCAATTACTTATAGAATCCATTTTGTAAATCTTCATTACTCTAACAAAAAAACCCTGCCATTATCTGTTGTGTGTTACAACAGGAGATTAAGGATTCAGAGGGAATTTGGAGGGAAATAGACTGTTAATCTGGAATCTGGGACTACTGAAATTCTTTTATGTAACACAGCTCATTAGTGTTGACTAGTATAGGAATGCCAGCATCCATGGGTACTTTATGTGGAGGAAGCCTGGTAAGGGTAATCCTAAGTTGGTGACTCTTCAGGGATAGGCCTGTTGGTACCATTTGTCTAATACCTGTTTTTGTCACCTTAACTCCATTTCTGAGCTTGAGATGAGAGCATTAAGCTCAATTTTCCAAGATCTAAGGTTCCTCAGCAGTCTATACCTCATCATCAAAATGCCACAAAGGACTAGTTTGTCACTTATACCATCTCCCCTCGTCCCTTACGGTAGACACCAATGGCTTGATGTGCACCTGGATCTGTTGAATGTGGCAAAGGCATAAGTGAGCAGAAAAGCTGCTGCTTAGAATGGGTACCATGCAGACTGCCCTACCTTGGGGCAACTACTCACTGCCTTCTGGAACTAGGCCCATCCAACCATTCACCACAACCATGGTTTTGAATACCTGGTAGTGAGTGTAGTGTTTATTTGTCGTCCTCTTTCTCTTCCTCCTCTCTGTTCTAGAAATAATTGGTCACTCAAAAATGTGATGCCTAGTTAGATATTCTGTCTCATTCTTTGTGATTCTCCTAGCTGACCAATGCAGGATTGGAAATCATGTCTGAATGTTTTCTTTGGCCATCCTGAATTAGGCTCCTATTGGGTGAGACCAAAAATAGCTATGAATCTCAAGCTGAGTTTTTCTTGATATTATACTTCTGGAGATTTCTTGTATGGTGCACCTAAGTATTATTTCCATGAGCAGATGCTGGAGGCCTTTGTAGAGCTGTTTTCACATATATTTCCTTGCTAATAGTATTGCTTGCTTTGATTTTAGTTTGCTGCTTAATGACTCAGTAAGCCTGTATGTATAAATATGCACGCATGTCTTTCTTAAGAATGGGGATGGTATAGAAATGTGAACTATTTTGAAAGGTGTTTATTGTCTTAAGGTGTCAACTTGTGATTAAACCGCTCTTTTGATTGTGATTAATAATTAAAATAGTAGTGCTGTATTACTTTGTAACTTGAAAACTCAGTTGGTCAGGGTGCCTACAGGAACAGTCAGTTGCAACCAGCAGGAAAGAAGTAAATGAACTGAGTCTAGTCGAGTGTATTCTGTTATCTTAAGTTTTAAATCAACTCAGGAAATTAAATTTGTATTTTATATTGAAGGAGATTTGAAAAATAAGTGCCAAATACAAACGTATCTTTTGAAATTATAAAGTTTTACTTTTAACAATATAGCATTCAGTTAGCGAGCTTGCTTCTTGTCTTAATTTCAGTCTGTTCTCAGCAAATGTGAGTATGTTTTTGTCAGTTTTTATTTGTGTTAGAACTTCATTTTAAAAATAACATTCACAACAACTTTGTAAATAAATACTTTTATTATTCATGCAATTAATTTTCACCATTTTACAACTCCAAGCATCATTTAATCCTTCATTTAAATTACATCCAGGAAGCTTTTCTTCACCTTGTTCTCTTTTTATACTTCCTAGTTAATATTTCACAGCAGCCCATTTAAAGATGTCCCTCAGAAGTTGAACAGCTTCTATGGAGTCATCAGGGAAGTGGTTATTTGCTCTTGCTATTTAGGATTTTGTTCACTTGCCAGCTCTTGGTGCATAGAAACACAGATAGTTGCTTTCACCAACATCACACCTTATCTGGGGTTCCAAGCTGATAAGAATGTCACTTAAGGAATAGTGGGGCTTGGATAGGGGATGTCTTGTTCACTGTTAATCTTTAGTGGCTGATAAGTCAAACATATGAAAGATTGAAAGGGTCGGTACTCTGGAGTTTATTTTCTCTTTTGTGATTGCCTGAGAGCCTGGTGTATTTACACTCCCTTCTCACACCTTGGGACAGTACTGAAGCAGTATTTATTGTGTGGGGATTTGGAGTTTGGATGGGTGGTTGTTTCAGTGAAAAGTGATCAGGAGCTTTTTGTCAGGGCTGTTCTTGGCCCATGTGTGCCTGAAACACTAAAGGGAATTTCTTGGTGTCTACTCTCTTTAGCAGGAGGAGCAATCTCAGAACTGCTATGAAGACGGTGAGACTCCTCGTTCTTCTCACTTTGTCGTCAGGTAGCCTTTGGACCGTGTGGCCAATCATTTGAGATTGGCTTTACTTGAAAACAAAGGCCTCTACTTCCCCTCCGGGAGGTGAAGGAGTGGATTTTATGTTTGAATGAAGAAGTGAATTATGGAAGAAGAGCACACGTCCCTGCCTTCCCTTTCAAGCATAAGTCCAGATAGGCTCTCAGTAGTGAGGATGTGTGAAGACGGCAGGAGATCTGACTCACTTCAACTCCACACTTGGTTGTGTTGCTGGTGAAAAATGCCATGTTTTGTTCACCTAACTGTTGAAGTCACATCCTCTGGATATGTCCTTTCATCTCCTGTTTGCCTTCCATCCTCATGCATGTCCTTCAATGACTTGTTCTTTTCTGAAAACTTGCTACCAGTTTCCTAGGAGAGCTGATGCATTTTCTGTTTCTTTCATTCATAACTTCCCCTCCCAGAAACTTCCTGTATTTCTATATTGTGTGTAAAGGTTGGGCAGAGAAGCAAGTGCTTGAAAGATTTCAAACTGGCAGGAAAGGAAGGAAAATAGAAGGCCCCCTATGACAGAAGGTCATTCTGTCTTACTGGAACTTTTTGCTCAGGAGGCTGGGCTCTGAGAATCAGGGGTTTCCCTTGCACTGCATGTTTTCCAGTATCAGATCCGTTTGAATAATCATGGTTTTTGGATATGATTAGTTTTATCCATCTCTAGCTAAGAATCATCAGTAGTTTGTGCATTACTTTACCTATATTGACTTTCAGAGTTAGAAACAAAGCAAGGTGTGTTTCTCCACAAGCTTCTTTATTATGGGGATGGGACACTGGGCGAGGACTGACGTGAAACCCCCAAATCAGAGCAACAGCAGCTCACTTCAAATCAAAGATCAGGTTCATTTGTTTGTTAAATCATTGCCTGTGGAGAACCTGTCCCCACCAGCCACGATGTGTCCCTTCCTGGAGCCAGGCCCTTTTTTACTATGTTTTCACTCACTTCCTTTCTGTGAAAGGTTGCTTAGCTTTTTTTTACCCTTCTCTTTCTCACTCTGGCTCTCTCTGCATTTGCTGTTCTTTTAATAAAAATAGCAAATTGGGTGGATGTGTACAATAAATGTTTGAAAATTTCTGAAAATCCAAAGTCAGGAAGCCAAGTGTGGAAAGGGTTAGTTATGTTTCAGGCGATAGCTTTCGGCTTGCCCTGGGTCATACTTTCTCAGCATTGAAAGGAGGCTTAAATACTATGCTAATTGTGAAATCTCTATCAGTTGGTGGAGGCTCCTTCAGATAGCCAAACACATTGATTACTTTATATTATGAGGTAGAAGTGACAAGGGGACACGTCAGGAAGTCTCCATCCAGTGTCATTGCCGGTGCTGCTTCCTCAAGTGTGAGTAAGACCAATGGTTGTGATTGGTAAGTGGCTCACAGGACATGTTTTTATTTGTAGACATTATATCCATGTCATGTCTCTCTGTACAATGCACCGTAGTGGGTGTGCAAACTGATACAGGGGTTTCTGCCTTCCCTATGTGAAGCGGCTTGATTTCCTCCATCTGGATGCTAATGCTGTGTCCATTTCCATTAACTGGCTACTGAGTAAATCAGCTCAAACCCTGCCAGGTTGTCTCTGGCAGCAGCTCCTAATAATTATTTATGCTTTTGGAATCTTTTTGTCAGCTTCTAAAACTTTCTGTCCACTTCCAGCTAGGATTTCTTGATTTGTGTAACATATGTATATTCTCTTCTTTTCTGTCATCTCCTCTGCCTCTCCATTTTGTTTCTTAAAATGTTCTGTAGTTTTGTACAAGATGAGACTTAGCCTTGGGTACTTCTTGCTAAAGCTTTAATGCTTTGTAAATAAAATTGGATGTTTATTAAACCACAGTATAGATGTTTGTTTGTAAACACTACTTGCTTCTGGAACTCAGCAGCCACCTTTGGTTTTATACCATAGAATATACATGTGGATTGTAAATCTTTCTCTGTGGTCATTTGGAGCTGGAAAGGTCAGGTAGTTTGGACTTCTTCCCCTGTACAAACTAGAAATAAATTATTTGAGCCAAAAGCTGGTGTTAATGAAAAAGGTCATCTAGGGAGTTCTCTTTTCATATTCTTTAACTCAATATAAGCTTGGAGGAGGCCACAGTGCTAGGCATTCTGGGAGGTTACAGTAGTGCACACTAGAAGTTCTACCCCTCCAAGTATCTTTGTTAGTCTAAACATAGTTAAATTCTTCCTTGTTAGTCATTTTTTCTGATTAAGTAATTTTAACATCTATACTGAAAGTTCATGAGCTCAAAGAATAAGATGTCTCAGAGACTCTACTGGTATAGCTTTGATGATTACCAATCTGTCTACTTACTATATTCTGTCTTGTCACTAAGAACCCATCTTTAGCATCATAGCTGTTTCATAGCAACCTTCATTGATGTAAACAGTGAGCTCCTCTGTTCTGCAGAGTAAATAGAGCAGATTAAAGTCAAACAGAATCTTTCATTCTCATACTTAGCAACATCCTGGTTCATTTAGAAAAAACGAGTATCTACAAGAAGACAGGAGCTACCTCTGCTGTAGGCTCACTTGTTCCTTTGGCAGCGTGTGTTGGACTAAATTTTAACACACATACCTTTTGTATCTAACCCAGGCAGGTCTCAAACTTGTATGTGGCTGAAGATCACCTGGAACTTCTGATCTTTGTGAGTGCTGGGATAGGGGATGTGCTACCACACCCAGTTTGTGTGGTGCTGGGGATCAAACCCAGTGCTTTACACATGATAGGCAAGCACTGCCACACTTCACTGAAGCTTTTTCTTCTTTTGAGACAGGTTTCAGGGTTAGCCCTTGTAGCCCAGGCTGACCTTAAATTTGTCCTGCTTCTGCCTCCAGGTTCTGTCATCACACCTTGCTTTCCATTCTTTTAAAAGTCTTTACAAATGAAGGTAGTTAACACTGGAAAAAGTGTTTTCAGGTACAGTGTTCAAAGTGACCTTCCTGAAACACAGGAAGATCTTGGCTTACAAAGGAAAAGAAAAGAAAGGAAGGAAGGAGGGAAAGAAAAAAAAGAAAGAAAAAGAAATTAATTTGCAGAGTCCAATGACTCTAGTCCAGAGTTATCTTTTTAATAGATGTTGTTTAGGAACATTCATAGTAAATAATTCAGGTTAATGTCCCAACCCAACTTTGACTCACCTTTTTCATAAGATTGGTTTTTGTATTTGGTCAGATTTAGCATGGGACTTTGAAATTCTTCTACAGTTTGAAAGGGAGGGGAAGAGTTAGCTCATGCATTTGGGGTAATGTGGAAATTCACTTCTGCTTCTGAGGTCTTTTCTTTCTTTTTTTTTTTTTTCTTCTCAAGCCTGTGGGTTTAAATTCATTAGGAGGAAGTGACAAGAATGACACCTGGGAAGATGCCCCTAGTAAGCTTAGATAATCAAACAATATTTTAAGTCTTTTTTTTTTTTTTCTTTCCTGTGGCCTCATCTGAGAGTGTGGACTGCACTTGGGTGCACATCTGTGCCTGTGCCTGTTTTGCCGACAGCTTTCCATTATAGTCTGTCAATGCTAAGGGCTGTTCAAAGCTGGAGGATCTGTGTTTCTAGTACAAGAGAACTTTCATCTGGAATGCCTGCTGGTAAAATGCCTGAGTCATGAAGACTGGGGCCACTGTTTTTATTCTTGGGAGCCTGGTATTGATAACCTACCTGCCTTTGGTGTTGATGTCACCTAAAACACTGGCCATCCCTGAGACGTTACAACAAGCTGTGGGGAGAGTCATTGTCAATGCCACCACATGCACTGTTACGTGTGGCCTTGGCTACAAGGAAGAGACTGTCTGTGAGGTGGGTCCTGATGGAGTGAGGAGGAAGTGCAAGTCCCAGCGTTTGGAATGTCTGACCAACTGGATCTGTGGGATGCTCCATTTCACCATTGTCCATGGGCAGAACTTTGAGCTGAGCTGTCTCAGCTCAGACATCCTGGAGGTGGGGCAGGAAGCTTTCCGCTTCACCTGGAAGCTTGCCCGGGGCATCATCTCTACTAATGATGAGATTTTTAAACCCTTCCGAGCTAACTCTCACTTTCTGCGGTTTAAACCTGCCTATGAGTATGACTCTGGGACATACCGCTGTGATGTGCAGCTGCTAAAGAGCTTGAGATTTGTCAAGAGGATCTATTTTGGCCTCAGGGTACTTCCTCCAAAGCTGGTAAACCTCAATTTCCATCAGTCCCTTACTGAGGACCAGAAGTTAGCAGATGAGGGCTGGGAAGTTAATTTCGACAACCAATCTAAGCCTCACCTCCCAAAGTGGCAGAAGAAGGTGGTGTCAGCCTTGGGCATAGGGATTGTTGGTGGAGTGGTTGGTGGTGTTTTGGTGAGCATTGCTGTCCGCAGTGTGCTGAGGGGCATGGATGGCAGGAACATCTTCAGCAGCTTATAGTTTGTGTCTTACTCCTGGGAGGCTGGCTGCCTAGGAAACTGAGCTAGCTTGTGCATGAGTGTCCCATGCCTCTGATGGGGAAGTGGCAAGAAAGGACTCTTGCAGCCAAAAGTTGGCTGGGAGGCTTGGAGGATGCAACCTCATGGTAGTTCAGGACAGCAATATCCATCATCGTGTTCAGGACTCCTTGATACTGGGTGCCCAGAAGACCCACGGCAGGCTTTGCCTCTGATCCTTGGCATGGTTCTGTCTTCCAAGCCTGCATTTATTTCACACCTCCCAGTCTGTGTGCCACTCACCCTGACTCCACCTCTCTGAACAGTGTATGGACTATAATGTACTAATAGCAGCTTTTTATTTTGAGAAACTTTATTTTTGTCCAATAAAAATAATTCACAGTAACTGTATGGCAGCCTATGTAAAATTTCTCACATGTAGAAATTGTTTCATAGTTGTCCTGGCTTTCCTTTTCTTTGGGTTTCCTAGACCATGCATTGTGTGTTTGCTTTGTGTGTGTCTCTGTTGTAAGGGCTGTTAGCAATGACATCCCACTCAAACTTACACAGCAGTCTTTAGTGCTGATAGATTCTCTGCACTCCCTGTCCTCCCTAGATGACCCTCTGAGTTCAGTATTAAATCGAATGTCCGGCAAAACATGAGCCCCTAATCACTGCAAACAGTCCTTTGTCTTGCTCCTCCTTTTTGCATTATCTGTACCTGGGGTTTGTGTTCCTGGAAAGGTCAAGTGTGCTGGCTTCTTAACAGCTGCTGAGATCCCCAAGGTAGGACTGCTATGTTCATTTCTCCTTAGGAAATCCAGTCTTGAGCCTCTCAAGGGTCATTCAGAAAGAGTCTGGGGTAATTGGCTTATGGAACCTTTGGGAAAAGGCTCTTGAGTGCCAGCTAACAACAGGATAGCATTTCTCCTTTTCTGTAGCTGCAGGAGTGGCAGAAAAGGAGAGGCTCCACGCTCCTTTTCCTTAGCTGTTCTAGAATCACCTAGATGCTTTGAAAACTAAGATTCTTGAGCCTCAACCCAGAGATGCTAATACAGTTCAAATTTTGACCAAAGGATGACTAGTGTTTCCTTTTAACTTTAGTGACCACCTACATTAGTTCCATGTCTATTTCTGTGATAAATCACCGTGAAAAAGACAACTTACAGAAAAAGTTTATATGGGGTTTATGGGGTTTACAGTTCAAGGGGAACAGAGTTCATGATGGTAGAGGGAGCTGGCAGCAGGGGGATGAAGCAACAGCTGAGAGCTCAGCTCTCAAGCTGCAAGCAGGTGGCAGAGAAAAACCTCAAACCTCACCTCCTCAGTGACATACTTCCTCTAGGAAGGTCACACCCATCCTACCCAAACAGCCACCAACTTGGAAGCAAGTATTCAAATGCTTATCTTTTCAGAAACATCTCACCACACCACCCATAGCCTGTCCAGATTCATCATAGCTTTACCAGAATTCTTCTAGATGTATATTGATTTTGTGGAATCGTATGAAAACTAGGCACAAACATGACTATCCCCTCACCCTTGTGTGTGTATGGGTGTGGGCATGTGTACATGTATGTGGGTGCATGTGTGTGGAAGCCAAGGGCCAGAGATCAACCTTGCTTTCTGTTCCTCTGGTGGTATCCACTATGTTTGGTTTTGTTTTTGAGACAGGTCTTTTTCTGGGACAAGGGCCTCACAGATAAGGCTAGGCTGGCTGGCTAGTGAGCCTTAGGAATCTGTCTGCCTCTGCCTCCCCAGTGTTGAGATTACATGACTGCATCTCCATACTTAGCTTTTTATGTCCTCATGTCTGTGCAGCACTTTGCCAGCTGAGCTTTGTCCTGAATTGCCATGTGCCTTTATCACACCCCAAAAAACAAACAGTAGCCAGTCTTATATCTGGCTTCTGTTCATTTTCTTATTACTAATCCTTTAAAAGCTTTTTAGTGTAATTTTAATCCAGTGCTGCACTTGGTGGTGTTTCTCTTCAGTCTCTTGGCAAATTCCTCATGTTTCTCATGACATAGTTACACTGAAGAGTCAGGCTTGTCCAACTTTTTTAGATGTTGTCCCACAACCTGGACTTGCCTTGTCCTTGTGATTAGGTTCATGAGGAATGACTGTTCAGCATTTTGAGAAGAGCCCTACTGTGTCACACCAGGAGGTTGACGCTTGTGTGTCAAGGCCCTCTTCTGGTGTCAAGCATATGATAAAGCAAGTCTCATCTTTGACACAGGTCAAAGATGTGAGGGCCCAGGGAGATCCCTTAGGGTCAGCTGTTCTATAAACTGAAGTTTTGGATTTGGGGAATGTCATGCCATTCAGTCCTAGGCTGTTTGCTGAGCTGTTCAGGGATAGCTCACTGTAGAGGTTTGTGGAGGAATCTGTATGCAGGGAACTCGGTAACAGGCTGAAGGGTCCTGGTTCACATTCTGTCGGGCAGAAGCCACCGAGGACCAAACATTGACACTTTTCCAGCACTCTGCTGCTGGCTGGTAGTCAAGCTTGAGGTGGATAGCCTTGGTTCATAGCCTTCTCTCTGTGTCTTGGCATCCTGAATTTTGACTCGGGATTTGAAGCAGTTGAGCAGAGAAGCGAACAAAAGACTTTCAGATGGATCCTGGAAAGACTAACTTAGTTCTGACTGGACATGGTCAATTACATATTCCTGTAATCCCTGTTATCCTGGAGACTGAAGCAGAAAAATTCTATATTCAAGGCTAGTCTAGGCTACACAGTGTGTTCATGGCCAACCTCAGCAACTTGGCAAGATCCTGCTTGGCATCTGCATGGCTCTGGTTCAGCAGCAAGGCCCCTCAGTTCAGTTCCCTGTGTCCTGTGCATAGAACTGCCCTGGGACAGTGAAAGAGAGGATGGCTGACTAAAGTCTGTGTGAACCACCTGTCATGCTGGAAAGGCTCTGGTTGGAAAGCTAAGCATTGAATGGAGAGCCTCTACATTCCCCTTCCTTTCCTTCCTCAAAACAATAATAACAAAATAAAACAAGGGGCTGGAGAGATGGCTTAGAGGTTAAGAGTATTGACTGTTCTTCCAAAGGTTCTGAGTTCAATTCCCAGCAACCACATTGTGGCTTATAACCATCTATAATAAGATCTGTGCCCTCTTCTGGCCTGCAGGCACACATGCAAGCAGAACACTGTATACATAATAAACAAATCTTTAAAACATACACACTGGGACACAGAATGGTGTCCTACTCACTTGACACTGAAAAATCCAACCTGGACTGCCTGTGTATATCCTTGTGCATGCTTACCTATGATGAAAGTCTGATATGTTTCACATGAGAGTGCCAAGGCTGGAAACTGACCGGGAGTGCCATGTTTTTGGGCCATCCTGATTGAACAACAGAGGCAATAGTCACCTCCTTACTAGTTGGGCTCATTGAGCTTTTCATGGAGGGGACTTGCCTTTGGGACCAGGGAGTCAACACTTTAAATGTATTGAAATCAGGGGATCTGGAAGTGACTCCACCTCCTCCCACCCCCCCAGAGTGTTGACCACCATTAGGTGAAACCTGCTCTGGATGCCAGCTGTGATCTGCTGCTACCTGCCTGCAAGTCCCCCGGGCCTGTCTTTTTCCTCGGGGTGACAGGCAGTATGGACCGTGAACAGCTTCCTCAGAGTTGGCCATATGAAGGGTAGATGTACTGGTCACAAAACAGGCCCGAGAGGAACGCTTCAGTGAGGTGAGGATCGCAGCTCCTGCCAGCTGCCTGGGCAGGTTGAAAAAACATCTTTATTTAAGAACTGCTTGCTACCAGAGTCAATAAATAACAAGAGCGAACAGTGGGCTGGGGAGGAGGAGCTGCATTTGAACAGCTGTCATCTGTGGTCCAGTGAAGCCCTGAGCTCAGAGCTATGCAGGCTCTGAAATGGGGGCTAAGTTGGAGGTATCTGGTGCCAAGGCAGGTTGAGTCTCCTCTAAAGAACCTAAGGACCCTAGGCTTCTGAGGCTACTTGGGGCTCTGAACAAAGCTGTTTGACCCATTTTTCTTGCCCTCTCCAGTTTTTCTTTAATGCCCTGCTTTCCCAAAGCCTGTGACCATATTATATATATATATATAGGTTCAAGAGGCACACCCCACCCCCAGCTACCAGCACTGTTTCCAGTGAACTTCAAGTCCTTTAGGGTTCCTCTTAATTCCATCTGGAGATTCCCTGGCCGTGTTTGGTCTCAGCTAGCAAGATAAAACACCATACTTGAACTAGTAACAGGTATGAGGACTCCTGACATGCAGGAGTCCCATTGGCTCTTGTGACACTAGGAAAAGAAAAGGTGCCTCTGTTGCTGGGAAAGGCATAGCGGAGGAAAGCTTCACTAGCCACATGGAGCTCTTGGCTAGTGTACAGGCTAGGCTGGCTTTGGGAAAGGCACTAGTTTATAAGGGCTGTTCTGTGGTGGCTTGTTCAGAATTGATGGCTTTTGTAAGCTGCAGGGACCATAGCAGATGGTACCTCTAAGGCTTTCCTGTGGCAGGCATTTTGATTCTAAGATCTCAACTCTGGACAGCACCTCCCCATTCCCTCAAGTGGGCTTCACTTAACCAGCATCCACAAGAAGTCTTGAAATTCCTCAAAGGTTACTCAAAAGAAGTCCCCTTGCCCCTTCCTTAAGGCTTTTCTGATCTTGGCTTCATTCTCCCCTGTTCTTTGTCAGGGCTCTCATTCCTCTCCCATCTCACTGCTCCCCTACTGCCAGGGTTACCTGCTGCACTGGATGCAAAACCACTCTCATCTGCACCATCAGATGGCAATGAGCAGAGAGCTCAGTGTGCTGGCACTTGTATGGACAAAACAGAGGGCACTTCCCAGTCCCTCAAGAGCTATCTGCAGGCAGCTCTGTCTTAGCCTAGGCAGAGTACTTGTTTGTGGCTGTCCTTTTTATCTCATCTGGTTTAGTGTAAACGGATGGAATCTCTGTCAGGACCATAGCAGGAGCCAGTCCACCAGCTTCCCCAGCCTGCACAAAAGTCAAGAGGTCCCTGGGCCAGGGAGGGACTCTTGAGAAGCCATTTAATCTAGCCCTCTCTACCAAGCCAGTTAAAGTCCCAGTTTCCTCAGCAAGAGGCTTTTCCATTTACAAGCTCACATGTTGATGAGTCACCTGTGGTCTCCTTACACCTTAGCTAATACTCTATTTGAAGCCCCAAGCTGCTGGCCCAGCTCCACCCCCCCCCCAAACAAATTCTACCTGCACATGGCCAAGGTTTTCCTCCTCTTGGGTCTCCCAGCAGCTTACCTGCTTTTCATGGACCTTGGTAGAAGAAAAGCTTAGGGGCTGTAGCCTCCCACCTCCCTAGTCCAGTGCCAGTCCAGCTAGCTCACACTGCCCAGCCACTAGATACCTACCCACTTATCCAGCACCCCTCCTGCAGCGCAAGGCAGCGAGAAATATGGAAGCCTTGGAAGGTTTCTTTCCTTTGCCCCTTTCTAGGGCTAGCTAGGGTTTTCCGGGTCTAGGCCCGAGCCAAATTCCAGCCAGCATGGGATGGGGAGGGATGCTAGACCAACTCATGGGTCCCTGTGATGGAGAATGATCACATGGCTGAGCCCCTAGCACCTTTGTATGTGAGGTGCTGGGAGCAGGAGAAAGGGGGACTTGATCAGCTCCAGGGAAGCAGTCCTTAGCTAGGGGTAGGAGGGAGAAGGTGTGCAAGTGTACATCTTTTAAAAACTGTGGTGGGTAAATACTAACATAAACCTGCCCAGGAAAACAGAGCAGGGCTTAGAGTTTAAAAAACCATAACAAAATAGAGCTCTAACTGTAAACTACAGAAACAGGCCATGGAACAGAAAGCAGGACAAGTGCCTCTTGAGGCATCTACTTGCTGCTTTCATAGGCCTAGGGAGTGGAGACTGGGGTCTTCTGCTCGTGCTGCCACAAGGTCCAGGTCTCTCTGAACTCTGTCCTTGCCTTGGCCTCTTTTCTTGAAGAAAAGAGAGGGCCTGAGAGGCTTCCAGCCAGCACCACTTGCTGAGTTCCTAGCAGGAGCCTTGCCTCAGGCTGATGACTCTGGATCCACCTGTGCCTTGGACTGGGCTCACCCATGCTGATCTTCTCACCAGTCTGAACCTCCTGAAGCACAGGCCTCATCCTCCAGAGGCCATCTTTAGTGACCAGGCTGTGACTGCTCAGCACCATGCCTTCTTCCTCCATAGTGCCTCCCACAGGTGGAGAGGAGACTCTGGTGCTTGGCCAAGCCTTGTCACTTACAGACCATATGACCCTATGAAGTCCCAACCCTTTCTGGACCTCCATTTCCTCATCTGTTAAGTGCAGGGTGTGGGTAAGTCAAGCTATAAGGCTTTTTCACCTCTGGCAGTCTGGTCTGTCACTGGTAATGTACCCCAAATTCAAGGTAGCCTGCCCCCTTTATTAACCCCTTTTTTCTTCTGGGGACTCAAGGCAGTTTGGGGAGCAGGCATAGCCAGGTAATGGAAGGTATTCCTGGAAGCAGGCATGGCCACATTGATGCTGGCCCTTCCATCCCAGGTCAAAGAATGGATGCTGTGTTGAGGGCTGGTTCCCAGGCCTGAAGTTATGGGAGGTGGGGGCAGCCATAGGTCTGCAGCAGAGCTGAAGGGAGGAGTGGCACTCAGCTGGAATCTTCCCATACCCTGGGGGGCCGTGAAGGAGGCATCTTGATGGGGTGAGACAACTCCTCAAAACAAGCCCTTTAGTCACGTAGCCACCTGAAGTGGCTCTGTCAGTCTGTCATTCCATCTGGAGGGTGACAGGGTTTGGGTTGGCAGTGCTGGTTGAGAGGGCAGTGCCACCAGGATGGTGAATGGGCCTTGGGCTGGTGCCCTATTTTTCCATCAGGTGTCATAGCCTCTCAACCCTTTTGAGCCTCTATCCCCAGTCAACTAGCCTGGAGCCTAGTTCTTGACTACCGAGCAGGTAGGACTGCCAGAGAGCCGTGGAAGACCATGCCAGGACCATGCTGTGCTGCTTGTCCAGCGAGGACTAGAAGTCCCTCTGCTTCATAGAGGGAAATTGATACCCCATATTTTCAGCCCACTGCTGCCCATGTTCCTGCTGGGCCTGGCACTCTGATGTCAGATGGCAGTGCCCACATATGGCCCCAGAGGCTTGATCTGAAGATGTATATTAAATACCTTTGGTCCAAAGGCCTGTTTCTTCTCTTCAGTACCCCAGTGGGTCCAGGCATTGAGCCTAGTGTTATGGAAGTCACTGCCCAATGCCTCTTGATTTAAAGAAAAATTCCTTGTATGGTTCTCTCCTGTGGCAGAATAGAAATATCCTACCTCCTACGTAAAGGGTACTGTTGGGAGTTGGTGTCTAGGCCAACCACTCTCAGGCATAGTGTTAGACCACCTTGGCGCTGAAGGGGGGCTGTGGCCAGCCACTGTGTCCGTTAGAGTGGGTGTCCAGCATGGGTGTGGCAGGCAGTGCTAAGATCAGAGCTTCTGGCAGCCAATGAGCATCAGTATCACCGTGCAGGAGAACATGGGGCCAGGATGGGCAGGGCGGACTGCTGCATTTTCCACCATCATACTTGTGCCTGAAACCAGCAGCAGAAATTGTGTGACTGAGTGAGCACCCCCCCCCAGCCCCACCCTCCCACTGGAACCCAGAACTCTCTTGAGCCTTTAGATCTTGTCTTTTTTGGCCTTACACAGCATTGGCCAGGGCCTTTGTCCTGGTCTCCAGCCCCTTGGATTCCATAAACTCCCATGTCTTGGGGTGGTTCTAGCATGGGACAGTGGCATGGGTACTACTCATCCTTGCCTTCCTTGTCCTTTCTCCTTGGGAGTCTAGCTTAGAATTGGATTCTGGGGACAATCTGGGGGACCAATACTGCTGAAGGGTAGAAAGGCAGGGGGAGGGATGGTACCTCCATTTCTCACGATGTGGACTTCTGCTGGGATGCCATCCCCTCCAGGCCCTGTGGTTCGGATCTGTACCAGGGCATGGCCAATGTCTTCGGGTACTGGGATTTCTATCCAGTTCTTGCTGGTGAGGTGGAGTGTAGGAGTTGGGTTCAAGTCATTCTGGTACAGCATCTGTGGGATAGAAGTTTCCAAGTACAGCTTCCTGGACCCTTGAAGCTTTGCCTCCATGCCTCCTTCAGTTTCTCGTTGGCCAAGCTTTGCATTGGCGGGAGGTAAATGTGCAAGCAGCTACACTGTCTTGTCAGACTTCCAGCCCATCACTGACATGACCTTTCTGCAGCTGCACCATGGTCCTGTTTTTATCATCTCAACCATGAGCTATGCAGAGCACCTGCGCTTCGTTTCTCTCCTAGCCCCAGATGCCACAGTCCTGTTTCTCCGCTCCTTCCGCTAGAGATTGCAGCTCCCCATGACCACTAAAAAGATGGCTTGTCTGTATGTCCCTTTCTTACCTTGTAGCCGGTGACTGTTGATTCATTTCGGAGAGGAACCACAGGGTCCCACTTAAGGCTGAGACTGGAGCTTGAGAAAGTCCAGGAGATGTTGCCGGGAGGTCGCCGTGGCGCTGTCAGGGGAGGGGAGGATTGGAGACATTGCCATATGCTTCCAGGGCCACCCCTCACCCTGAGCCTGCCCAGATAGCAGGAATTCTCAGAACTTGTCACCATGAAAATCCCGAAGTTGGAGAAGGGAGAGGCTGTGACTCTACTGCCATATTTCAGTAGGTCCACTGACTTGCTTCTGCCCAGTGCAGACCATATCGCAGGAATAAACATCTTGCTGGATAAACAGAGGCCCTACACATGCCTACCCCATGGCACGTGCCCTTCCTCCTCCCTGGCAGACACTCACGGGGCTTCATGGTCATAGCATCAGCTGAAGGGCTGGCTGGTCCAGTGCCGGCCCGGTTGTAGGCCCTCACAGTTACATGGTACTTGGTGTTGGGGTGCAGGCCGGTGACTTGGGCACTAGTGTCTAGCCCTGCCGTCCTCACTCGGTCAGCAGCTGCCTCTTTGTCCCCTGCTTTCCAGTAGCGAATCTAAAAGGGGCAGGATATGTTAAAGTGTATGGCAAAGCTCTTATCTACCCAGTCCCCACGCTTCTCTCCAACCTAGGCTGGTCCCGTGGTAGACTCTAGTTTGATAATCTGCACACTAGGCCATGTAATCCATCAAGCAGAGTCACGTGACGATGAGCCCCTGCATCTGTAAGCATTCGACAGTGTCTAGTCCAAGGAAGGTGTTTAGTACATGGGATGAAAGAAGTAGGTGGCTAGTGGAGAGATGAACAGGGATGAGAAAGGACCAGACTATAGACACCTTCAAGCCTTCCAAAGCTCCCCCGTATCACTTTGGCCCAGAAAGCTCATTCTAGTACCAACAGAGTGCCACGGTCCACTGCAGACCTGAGGCTGCCTCTGCTTCCCACATCTGCAGACCCTGGACGCCAGCTTTCAACAGTGTTTATCTCATGCACTCACAGGCTCTCTTGGAGCATCTGTTGGGACATGAAATGCATGCTTTTTGCTTGTGAAGTAGTTCTACCTTCAGTGCTCAATAAACACAGATCCACTCACCAGTGGAATATCAGACCTTAAATATTCTTCAATCAAGGGCCAAGAGTGGAACTGTCTTCTCCCAGCCGTCTGTCTAACCTATTGTGCTAAAATCAGCCTGATGGCTCCCTGGCATTATTGGACCTGTTTTTTGTTTTGTTTTGCTTTGCTTTGCTTTGTTTTGTTTTGTGTTTTCTGAGACAGGGTTTCTCTGTGTAGCCCTGGCTATCCTGGAACTCATTCTGTAGACCAGGCTGGCCTCAAACTCACCAAAATCTGCCTGCCTCTGCCTCCCTGAGTATTGGGATTAAAGACATGTGCCTCTACTACCAGGCTCCCCTTTCCCTCATGACCCTCTTGCTGAGGAATAAGTGACCCCAGGAGGAATGACTAATAAGTGTTAGGTGTTCCCACCTTCTCTTGAAAGCCTAGCCCTGCCTCTTTCTGGACCCAGTTGTTGCTCACCTCATACCCCAGGAGAATGCCATTCATGTCTTGTTGCACAGGCTCCCAGCTCACGTTCATCTCTGAGGATGTGGACCCTTTGGCCCAGACCTTGGCAGGGGCCACCCTGGGCTCTGGGGACCAATAAAGAATGGGCATACATTCCTGAGACACCTCTGTGTCCCACAGAATAACCCTGACTAAGACTGTCTGCGCTTAGGATTTGGGGAACCCCCAGGGCCCAATACAAAGGATGAAGCCCAGGGGATTCCAAGTGCACCACAGGCTTGCTTCTCCTCCCATAGGTCCCCCCTTCTCCTTCCCCGTGACAGGGAGTCAAGGTGGACCGGCCCCAAGCCACACAGCCCACCTTCCTCTGCTGAGTGTACTAGTGCAGTGAGGCTCTCAGGCCCATCCCCCTGGCGATTGTAGCTTCGGATCTTGACTTCAAAAGGTGTGTAGGGTTCGATGCTGTCATTGCTGTAGACGAAGTACTGGGCATCGGCACCAGGCACCCGGGCCGTCTGCCAACTGGAGCTGCCTTGCCTGCGGAAGGACAGCAGGTAGCCGAAGCCATCTCCATTCTGGTACTCCCGTGACATGGGCTGAGGGCAAGAGCATGGCATGGGCCAGGGGTCATGGGTATGTGTCCCTGCCCACCCATCTGGCTCCACCCAGTCTTCACCCAGAGGAGTGGCCCTGGATGCATGTGCCTCCTCAAGGGTTTAGTGAGGCAACAGGTATGTGGGGAGAGGAAGGGAGGGTGGGAAGCTTCTAAGTGAGACTTCAGTGGTCCTTTGTGCTGCTGCCATTGTGTGTGTCTGGAGACAGACTAGGAGGGTGGGGGAAGGGGCATGCCTGAGAGGCATGAGAGGCAAGACACTTGCCTGCTTCTCTGTCCCTACCCACTTACAGTCCAGTTGATGATGAGCTCTCCAGGGGCCCCGCCCCCTCCACTGAGTCCTGATGGAGCCACTGATGGGACTGTTAGGGCCAAGGAACATAGATGTGTCATGTTAGTGGGCAGCAAGTGGGAAAAAAGCCCCCAGCCTGTGTGTGGAGAGCATCTTGGGTGTGGCATTCCAATTTATCTTTCCACAGTCGTTCTGTGCATGGGTTCAGAGTCAGGCCAATTCCCACCTTTTCTGTGCTTCCTTGAACAAGCTACTTAACTTTTCTGAAGCCTGATTCTACTCTTTCTGTCTTCTCATTTCACTTTGTCAGAGACAAAGAATTTAAACGAGAGGCCAGTCAGCATGTAGTGGCTACTCCTGTATGTTGTCCTCATCGCTGTTGGCTTAGCTAAATCAGAGACCAACTCCAGCTTGCTTAAGTTGATGGGAATAAAGAACCTTGAATGGCAGCTAATGCAAACAACAAAAATGAATTTTGTTAGGGGGTATTCCGAGGTATTTTGCTATTATTTTCCTTTCTTTCTTTCTTTCTTTCTTTCTTTCTTTCTTTCTTTCTTTCTTCCTTCCTTCCTTCCTTCCTTCCTTCCTCCCTCCCTCCCTCCCTTTTGAGGTATATTTAATCTCCCTGTCTTTAGTATTAAACAAGACTGATAAACAGAATGATGGCCTCTGCCAGCCCACAGAGGGTTGGGGCCCAAGTATTTCTGCAGAGCACCGGGTGCTCCAAGTTTTATGTTGTTGATTATGGGGCTTTGTATTTGATCCCCTGAAGAAGGCATTCCCAACACAGAAAGCCAGAGGTCCAGAGCAGTTAAGCAACTGGTCCAAGTTCTTACAAGTAACGCACAGGCCAACTAGAATGTGACCTCTGCTCTTACACTTTTAAAGAGCGTTATTGTCCCTTTGCATTGTACTTGTCTGTGCTCAACAGTTTCTGAGCTGCTAGAATCAAAGAGACCCCTCTCACCCCACAACCCTAAGAAGTTCAGTCAGAAAGCATACCCTCTGTGTTTCCTACTCTAGATGGATGCTGGACTAAATTGTTGATTGATTCCAGAGCCTGAGAGTCAGCCCAGAGCAGGTAGGAGAACGTGTTTACAGGAGACATGGAGGTAGACCTTACCCAAGCGCAGGTCTGGCTGGATGGAAGGAAGGGGACAGCCTCCCGACCATGATCCCAGGTCCTCCCTTGGGAATTCAGGGCACAGCAGGTGCCTCTGAGCAGATGTCGTCCATGTCTGTGTCCCTTCCTGGTTCTCTCCTCACATTCTCTCCTACTTTGTCTCTCACACACATGTGCCTTCACTGAGGGTCACAGGCAGATTATGATTCCTCCTGCTCCATAGAGAGCAGCCAAACAGGTCCTGGAGTCTGGTTCCCTCTCTAGCCCCCTGCACAGCACCTGTGTACATGTCCACACAAGTGTATATACACATGCACACAGACACCTTCCTCTTTAGCTGATTTCTGTAGTTTGTGCACACTTAAAAAAATGAACTCAAGGTTCTTTCTTGTCCTAGCTTCAAGGTCAGGCTCTCCCAGTGGGACCCTTCTTCCCTTGTTCAAGTCAGTTTTCCTGTTTTTAAATACTAGGCCAAAACAATGATTACAGATCTGCCTGTGGGTGTGCCTTTTCAGCAAGGCCACACTTTGCTGAAAGGGCACACCTTGCTTGGATCAGGCAGTTTGTCCAAGCAGCAGCCTTGCCTCTAATCTCACATTGCCCCCCAACTCCCCACTCCCCACCCCCGCCCCCAGTTCACCAGAGCCTGGTAAACAGATTGGGATTTTGTTCCTGTCCCACTGCTGGGACTCCCTCTGCTAAGAGTTCTCTTTAGAATCCCAGACACTTACCTGCTTCCTTAGTCCGGATTCTGCTGGAGGGCCCGCTGGGCTCCCCAGTGCCCAAGATGTTGCTGGCTGAAACCCGAAACTCATAGTCCATCCAAGGCATGAGGCCCAGCACCTGGGCAGTCTCGGCATTGCCCTCAATGTTCACAGGATCTGAAAGGCCCCGGGGGTCAGTGGCTAGCACCCATTTATTGCCAGGATGAGGGCAGGTTCTGGGCCTGTGTTACCTTTGTATTCTATCCTCACCTTGGTACTACCATCCACTGAGCCCTCAATTACTCTTTGATTGAACAGCTAATAAGCTCCTATGCCTCAGGGTCTTTGCCAATGCCCTGTGCTCCTCATTCCACACATGTTGAGCATGCTGCCATTCTTTAGCAACAATCCTTCAAGGCCTCAAGGAACAGACCAAATGCCTCCTCCGCCCTCTCATTACCCTCCTGGCTATGAATGCTTTCCTGCCTGCCTAGGAGATAAGAGAACAAAAACTTACTTCTCTTTGAAGCCTTAGCCCTGGACCCTCTGACTTCATCTGCTGCTGTGCACACAGTACTTATGCAAGTGGGGCCTCATACTTACTGGTTCGAACCTGCTTCCACTTCCCTGAGGGTGGAGTACGAGCTTGCACCATGTACTTGGCAATGGGGCTGTGATTGTCAAAGCCACGACTCCAGCTAAGCTGAACAGTGGTGTCTCCAATGTCTCTCACCACCAAGCCTCCTGGGGGACCTGGAGGACCTGTACCAAGAGGCAGAGCGCACTGGGTCAGAAGTGAGCGCCCAATTTGAGTCAGTTTTATCTAGACCCAGCCTGGACTGGCTCAGTATCTAGATGGGGCAACAGAGGGCAGGAAAGATTGGGTGGGAGGTTAGAGGATGGGGACAGAGGAGAGTTAAGGGTAGTGATGGGTAGTGACTTGGAGGTTCACAGAGGCTGTCCAGAGAGGGGTGCATAGATTTCTCCACACTGAACCTGGAACTCCTGAGTGCATGAGGCAAAGTCTTTGGGGGTGTTTAGGGTATATTTTCTTTCTAAAGTATGGCTTCAGAAGAAACAGTCTACTCATTTAGGACCCACGAGGAACCATGCAGGTACTAAACAGATGTGTCTATCTCTGTGGCTTCTGTCAGCTTTCAGGGAGGGGAGGCAAGCCGCCTAGAGCCTTTCCAGGAACTGCAATGGATGCCTCCCATCACCTCGGACCAGGACTGTGGCTTCCTTGGATGCACCATCCACCACTGTCTGGGCCATGCACGTGTACTTCCCTCCATGGCGTAGCTGGGCATTCACGACAGTCAGGTCCCCAATGGTCTCTTTCTGTGCACAGGAAACAGAATGTGATGAGTCAGGAGAAAGCCACAAGATAAAACAGAGCCTGGATTCCCTGGCTGTGTGGCATCTATACCCTCTGAGCCATAGTTCTCCTTTCTGTTCAATGGAAAGAATCAGCTACTTGGTAGCAATGAAAAACAAAGTGTGTCATATAGATAGTTTGCATGGGCCAAGTTAATGATGGCATTTGCACTGGAAGAGAGGGACAGTGGTGGAGAGAATCTCCTGGGGCACTTGGAATGCTAAAACTTGATTCTAACTTAGAAGGGTGGTCCTTGAGTGGATGCTGAAAAGATGGCTGCTATCCTAGGATGAGCTTGCTGGGCATGGCCTGAGGGTTAGGGAGAACTTTGGAGAGGCTGAAGGTGGTGGTGGCTGAGGACATCTCAGGTACCCTGTCTTATCTGGGGTAAGGGAAAAGTATGGGGTGTGGTGGTCTGAACAGGAATGGCTCCATAGACTCTTGTGTTTGAATGCTTGGCCCATAGGAAGTGGCACTATTGGAAGGTGTGGCCTTGTGGGAGGACCTGTGTCACTGTGGGGTGGGCTTCAAGGTCTCCGATGTTCAGTCTATGCACAGTCTCCTTCTGCTGCCTGCAGACCAAGATGTAGAACTCTCAGCAACTTCTCCAGTACCTTATCTGCCTGCACACTGCCATATTTCCCACCATGATGATAATGGACTAAACCTCTGAAACTATAAGCCAGCCCCAATTAAATGCTTTCTTGTGTAAGAGTTGCCTTGGTCATGGTGTCTCTTCACAGCACTAGAACCCTAACTAAAACTTACCACACTGGCCCTCCGGTAGTGACCTCCAGACTTATCAAAGTCAATGGGGAAATCATCCAGGGTCCAGGTGAATGTGAGGTCCATAGTGGGGTCATGGGAGGCATGGCACTGTAGGGTCAGGTTATCACCCACATTGATGTCAGCACTCGAAGGAGCTAGAGTGATCTTGGTTGCATCTACAAAGTAAAACAGCAATAGCTGTAGAAGGATGAGAAAGTCCCAGGCAGGGGAGAGGCTCTGTCCTGTACCCCAATGCATATGAGCAGCCAGATTCTGGAGGCTGGCCAGGGGCGAAAGCAAGAGAAACTTGAGTTCTGAGGTAGCCTTGGAAGCAGAACTATATGGAGCCAAGAGCAGATGGCTGGCAGAACAACACCCCAGCTGACTAGGGGTCTAGATAGACCATAGTCCTTACCACGTACAGACAGGATTCCAGTACTGTTGGCTTTGCCCATGAAATTCTCAGCAAAGCAGGTATATTTGCCTTCATCCGATCGACTGATGTTTCTGATAATCAAGGTACCATCCAAAGTTACTGTCACTCTGCAGCAAGGACAGAAAAGTTCTGGTCAACCCAAGGATAAACCATGGGAAGGGCACTGGCCTACAGGAAGCCATCTCTGCTGTGGCACATAGAACATACCTGGTACTGTTCCCCAAAATCTCAGTACCCTTGCTCCAAAGTATAGTAGCTTTTGGAGCTGCACGAGGCTGGCATGGGATGCTGATCTCTCCTCCTCGGGCTGCAGGGATCAGCCGCCTCACAGGGTTCTGCCTGAAGTCGGGGGCCAGAGCTGCAGGAGAAGGAGTACTCATACACTCACCCTTGTGATAGCCATTGCCCCCTTCCATTAAGATGCCACCTGGACATGCACTAAGCAGCATAGCCACCGGAGATGAACTTCTCAAGTGGCTGCAACATGTCTAGAACTCAAGTCCACCCCTGAATGTCTTGCTCCACTCTCTCCCTCAAACATGCAGTAACCATCTGTCTTGCTTTCACTTTTATTTCCTTAAAAAAAAAAAAGATTTATTTTTACTTGATTTGTATGGGTGTTTTGCCTGCATGTATGTCTGGTACCACCTGTATGCACTGCCTGAGGAGGCCAGAAGAGGGCGTCAGATTCTCTGGAGCTGGAATTACAGGTTGTTGTGAGCTACCATGTGGGTACTGGAAATGGAACCGGGGTCTGTTGCAAGAGCAGCCAGTGCTCTTAACAGTCATCTCTCCACCTCTCAATTCCTCAGCTTTCTTTTTAACTTTCTGAAGTTGTCAAGCCTTTTCTGCTTTACGATCTTTGTGTTTGCATATATAATATTTATGAAAATTCCTCACATCTTTACAAGGTTCCTTCAGGTCACACCCAAATGTGACTTCTTTGGAGTCTTCCCTGACCACCCCATCTAACTGGTTCACCTCAGTACCACTGCTCTACAGTTTTCTTTTCTTCCTTCCTTCCTTCCTTCCTTCCTTCCTTCCTTCCTTCCTTCCTTTCTTTTGAGACACGGTTTCTCTGTGTAGCCTTGGCTGTCCTGGACTCACTTGGTAGACCAGGCTGGCCTTGAACTCACAGAGATCTGCCTGCTTCTGCTTTCCCGCCTGCTGGGATTATAGGCGTGCACCACCGTGTCTGTCTCCTACTGATTTTCTTATATTTTTAGTGTTTATTCATTCTTCCCTTCTATTAGAGTGCACAGTACTTGAAAGCCAAGAGGTGATCTTTTGTATTCATTCCTTTGGAGATGATGAATAACTATTGGTTGAAGAAATGAATGAAACAATGAGTCTGGGGGCTGGAGAGATGCCTCAGTGGTTGAGAGCATAGACTACTCTTGCGGAGGACCTGAGTTCAATTCCCAGCATCTACATGGTGGCCCACAACCATCTGTAACTGCAGTTTCAGGAGAATCAACACTTTTTTCTGACTTCTATAGGCATGTGATACATATACAAATACAGGAATACATATGAAGAAAATAAAATAAATTAAAAGAGAACAAGTCTGTTGAGCCTTATTAAAACCAATAAAGGATCCTCATGTCCATCTTACAGCAGAGAAAACATGCCTCACAAGCTCAAGGCTAGTGGTCCTTGGTCCCTGTCAAATGAAGGTCACACCTGTCACAGTTCACTCTTCACATTTCATGTTCCCTCAAAGCAGTGTTCAAGGGCAGGATGAAGCATTTCTTAAATCAAGAAACTGTGACATAGAATCAGGTAATTTGCCACAGGCCACAGAGAGTGAAGGAGCTGGATTAAACAAAGATCAGATCTTTTCACTGCACTGAGCATCTGCTTTATTCAGAGCTTTCAATCTAGTGCCTTGAAAGTGATGCTATTCAGAGGCATTAAAATACCAAAGAAAATGTGTGGTACAAGCATGTGTTTGGACAAGCAAAAGTTCAGCCCTAACCAGCCACAACCTTCATGTTCCAGGGACTGTCCCTTGCTTCCTGAGCACTTTACCTTGTACAGCCAGCTCAGCACTGGCATAGATGGTGCCATGTTTATTTTCTGCCACACACTGGTACATGCCAGAGTCCTCCAGGCTCAGCTTAGAGAATCGCAGGTCCCCAGCCAAGACCTCCACCCGGTTCTGTGCAGAAGAGCCGAGGCAGGGCAGGGAAATCAGGACGGTTGGAGGACAGGAAGGGTTTGTGTATGTGTGTGTGCATCTGTGTGCAGGGGCTGTATACCAACATCCCAAAGGACGGGGGTTCATGAATGCAGGCCTACTCCAGGGCTGCCTGGTGTTTTAGGCCTCCTGGAAGCCAGCTTTAAGATTGCATTCCTGTTTGCTGGTGGGATCCCAGATCTCTGTGATGCTACACAGCTGACCCACCACCTGTGATCATGTGTCTCTGGCATAGGAGGAAGCACCAGAACTTCCCAAGACCCCCCTTGGTTGGCCCAGGAGGGTAAGAGGGCCGGGCAGAGAAGAGGGTGGTTGTGTGGGAGGAAGCCCTGGTTCCCTACCTGGGAGGCCAGAGGCTCTCCATTTCTCAGCCAGCGTACCATGGGCCGGGGTTTGCCTGCTGCTGCGCAGCCCCAACGCAAGTTGGAGCCAATGTCAGCTTCTGTGTCTGAGATCACCTTGAGCCACTCAGGCTGAGCTGTGGGGAAGAAGTAGGGAATTAAAAAGTTGCAGTATTTGTAAGTGACAGCAGAGGGCGCTGTACTATTCTGGAATGGAGAGGACATAGAAGTGGGGGTAGGAAGAAAGCTGGCACTCTATGGTCGTGCCAGAGGCTGCTTTTAGCAACTAAATCATTTGAAAGACTTGTGTGCTTTTTTCATGACCCTGCTGAGCTCTGAGATGGCCTCTACAATTATGCTTAGTAGCTCTGGCAAGGACTCAAGCAAGAGGCCTTCCAGTCTCTTGATTTCCATGCTGTTTCCTCAGGAGAAGGGAGGTGTCTCCGGCTCTGTACCCTGCACAATGATGCGTCCCTGGACGGTGTCACGGCCCTTGGAGTTCTCCACCTCACATTCATAGGTGCCCTCATCTTCAAAGCTTACGCTGGGGATCTGCAGGGTGGGCTCTGCTGTGGCCCACTGAGGGGACAAGGAACCATCCACTTTGCGCCACTTGATCCTGGGAACAGGGCTGGGAGAAAGGGCCAGAGGGGATGAGCTAGGCTGGGCATGCTCCCCATGTGTCCACAGAGCCTACCCTCACACTTGTAGGCCCTCCTGAAGTAGGGCCTACTTTGGAGGAGGTGAAGGGGACAGAGAGAATGAGGGCACAAACAAGACTGGGAACATAGGCATGGAAGAGACAAGAAGATGGCTCCACCATCATAGGCCCCCTTTCACATCACCCCAATTTCCCAAGGTACTTTAGTTATTAGTAATTTGGATACTAAAATGGGCTAGGGAACCACTGAGTCTAGGGCTCAACATATTACCCTGCCAAATGCTTTTTATACGTGTTTACTGGAGGCCCCAAAACTTCCCACATAGCAGTAGCCAAGCAACCCCACTCTAGTGAATCCTTTTTCTTAGATAGCACGAAAGAGAAGGCCTCTGTTGTCATTTTTGAAATGCATAATGTAACATTCATGCCACACTTGTTAAATGCCAAGCTCTCCTCTCAGGGTCTGGTATCCATTGATGCATCTAATCTTTGTGACAGGGCAGACACTGTTACCATGATCACCCATCAGTCACAGAGCACAGACTGAGACGTTAGGTACTTGCCTGAGCTCTCCCAGCCAGCAAGTGTTGAAGCTGAGCTTTGAACCAGCAGGATGGGGTCTGCACCCTGGGCTTCCTGCCTCCAGCCCTGGGTGCTCCTCAGACTGCCTAGGACTGCCATTTACTGTTGGAAGGACAGTGTGGTTCCCTCATGCCTATACAGCCCTCTGTCTCGCTGGCAGAACTGGTTTCATTGGATGGTGGGTGATGCCTGTTGTGTGCCCAGGACCCTGCTAACCTACTGCCTTTGCTTTCCCTCATTCTGGGATCCCTCCTGCTCCTGAGGGGCTTTGAAATGAAGCCCTGCCTGGCCCCAGGGCCACTCTTGTCCCTCCGATGGTACTTACTTCCCAAAGGCAAAGCACTCCAGGGTGACCTGCTGCCCAACCAGTGCATAGGTCTCTAGGGGGAACCGGGCTTTGATGCTAGGAGCAAAGAGCCGGGGATCTGAGGAGAAAGAGGTTGTGTGAATCACACATGAAGGACACCAAGGCGACGCTTTGTATTTAGGGTCTGTGCTTCCAAAGTGTACAAATCTCCAAACAAATATTTGGACTCTCCAAATGTTCCTTTTTCCTTGAGATCCTGGAAGAACAAGGGTCTGAGACCCAGCTGTAGAACCCTTTACCCCTCTGAGCTGCAATTCTCGGGCTTGGGGGAACTCCATCATATCTTTCCGGCCCTCCCCACAGCCCCACGAGTCTGACCTTCAGCAGCCAGATTGAGCTGCGCAAACTTGCTGAAGACACTCTTGGTGGAGAAGTCCATGTGGCTGGTGGCTAGACAAGAGTAGTTGCCCAGGTCTGAGGCATTGGTCCGAGCGATGTAGAGGTTTCCTGTGGTCTGAGACACAAAGTGACGCCCATCCGTTGGGATGAAGTTGGGGAATTCATTGAGGAGCCAGCGGTAGGACAAGCCTAGAAAGGAAGGTGTTTGAGGAAACTAGGGTGTGTCGGGACCACAGGCAACCTGGGCGGGACCCCAACCTGCTGCATGTTCTGCCTTCTCATGAGAGCTTGCACTCTAAATAGGGGGATAGGTAGAGGGGAGAGATGGCGCCAGTCTCTCCTCAGGATGCTAGGTACTGAGAGCACACTCTCGGCCCAGCTAGGTATTGCAGAACCATTTAAAGGAAGGCCTACCACTCCCTCCTCTGTCCTCTCCCCAGCATCCGGAAGTCCTTTCTAGTGTGCTGCCCCTGCCCGTCTTGCCCTGGCCCAGGGCCCCACTTACCTGGGTAGTGCGCAGGTGGATTACAGGGCAGCATCACCCCCCAGCCCTCGGGGGTTTTCACAGGGTCTCTCTCCTCCTTGGAGAATTCCTGCAGAACTGGAGATGGAAAACAGGGCTCAGGCACAGTCTTCAAGCATGAGGCTCCCAGCTCCTCCTTCATGGGGAAGAAGTAGTTTCTAGCATGCCATTTGCAAGCAGAAAAGCCTGGCTTGCGGCTACTGCCACCTGTCCTTCCTTGTCCCATCTACCCACACCCAACATCTTGGCTCCCATGGATCTCACAGCCGAAGCGGAGGACTGCCTCCTTGCTGACGACAGTGCCCACTGGGTTTGAGGCTAGGCACTGGTAGACACCGGCATCCTGTGCCTTGGTAGGACTCATGATGACCAGGTTGCCCCCCATCAGCTGGTGACGGGAACCGGGTTCCAGGTTCATATCAGTGCCATTCATCTTCCACCTGCCGCAGAGATGAGTGAGAGTGGGGGTGGGACCTCGGGCATAACGGGGTAGGGCTGATGTGAAGGGAACCTGTATGTCTGCCTAGGGCCTCCCAGCACTCATGGCTGGGACCTCACCTATAGGTGGCTGGAGGGTTAGCTCGGGCACGGCAAGCCAGTGTCACCTGATCCTCTGTGGACTCCTCTGGGAAAAGCAGGCCAACGGGTTGTTCTTCAAAGACAGGTCCAAAGGTGGCTGGGGTTCCCTGGGCAAAACTCCACCCTGCAAACAGGGGATACCACCAGAGCCTCAATGTCTAAGACATTCCAAGTCAAATATCAAGAGCAGAAAGTGATAAGGATGCCTCATCTTCTGCCTTGGCCAATAGATGGCCTTGGGCCACTTGTGCTATTGAGGGTTTCGAATGTAGCTAAGGAACCAAAATTTAAATTTAATTTTAATTCATTTAAATAGGCTGGGAAGGTCCCATCAATCCACATTTGCATTGTCAGTCACCCATCTACAGTCACATATTAAGCACTTGTTGTGTACCTGGAAGCAGGCTGTGAAAATGAATCAAACACATAGCCCCTTTCCTTGAAGGATCTTGCAGTCCAGGAAAGGAAACAGGCAGACAGTACAGGGTGCCGTGTCACAGAGTGCTTAGGCACGAGATATCGGAGATTCTTAGGGGACCTCTCACAGGTGTGGCACATGAGAGGCCACCAGCAGGAACCAGGGACAAAGGATACATATGTGTTCCTGGAGTACAATGCTCTTCTAGGGAAGTGTAGGCCAGTGAAAAGTGCTCGTTTGGGGGCTGCGTGTGCTACTGGCAATATTACCTTGGGCAAGTTATAGGAACCCTGATTGACCTGGTGCCTTCCTATGAAAAGAGTAGCAATTCACTTCCAGGTCCATGACAGGGTCTAATAGGAAAAAAATAGGGAGGTCCTGGCACAGGGAGCAAACTCAACAACTGGCTGTTAGACCCAGCTAGGGACAGGGGGTGGAGGGAGGCAGAAGGCTGAATGTTGGCTGTGGCAGCAGATTGACTGGCGGCAGTTTTATATGCTGTGTCACATTTCAGGGAAAAAAAGTCCAGTCTGTGTCCCAGGTGATGTTGCTTAGCAAATGGGCTACTGCACACCTGCTTCTCCCTACCATGCGTCAGCCACAGCCTTGTTCTGCACACACCCTGGTCCTGTCTCACCAGAATAGGGTCAGCAGGCAGGAGACAGGACAGCAGTTCACACTGGACTGGCACAGTGTGGGTTCTGCCACTGTGGGATCAGGTGGGAGCCAGGCTCCCTAATTGGCTCCTATTTCTCAAGCGGCTGATTTCAGCAGGTCCTTGCTGGGTGGGGGATGGGAGGAGGGAAACTCCATTAACCAATTAGTGCCTTTCTGAGCACATCCAGCTGCCAGCCCTCTTTCTAGTGTGGTCCCTCTGCTGCAGCTGAGGCCCAGTTCTGGCCTCTTGGGACTTGGGAACATATGCTAAGCAGCCCTCTGAATGAGGAATGAGGTAGGAGGCAGGATTTCCAGAATGGCTTCCCTTGAGCCCTGTTCGTGTCACTCCCTCCACTCCCTATAGCTTGTCACTCTCCTTTACTGCAGCCTGGGGCCTCAGAGGCAGTATCTGAAAGCAACTGCATCAACTCCCCTTGGAAAGCCCAGCTTAATCCCGAGTTAATGATGATGGTGGAGGTAGGGATCCTGGCCCAGCTGGGAACACTTGGAGAGAGGAGAGGGAGGATGGAAGGGAGGAAAAGGAGAGATGAGGAGGCAGGGGCTCTGGGAACCACCTTACACAACAGCAGTTTCCAGGAACTCAGTCTGGGTGGTGGGGGTGGCAGAGTGGGGTCGGTCTGGGCACACTGGTACTTTAAGATTGTCTTTCTTCTTGAAAAGGCTTTTTCCTCTACACTCAGCAACGTGCACACCCTCACACTCATCCCAATACCCACATGTACGCACCTTCGTGTCTCACTTGCACGCGCTCTTACAATGTTCTCATAGCACACATATGTTCATACACAGATATCTCTCTAACCAATCAAATGGCCAGATACACATCTATGCACATTTCGATCTCAGGCAGGAACAGCTGCCAATAGCCCTGCCTGCTCATTCCATATGTGTGTATTCATAAGTAGCTCTACCCACTGCTAATAATTAAGTCATGATAAGAATAGTGCTGTTGATCCAGTTGCTTACAACTGCCTGACACCATATTCCAAATTCTTTCTCATGGTGCTCCACAAAGTGAAGTGCTTCCTATCTCACCAGCATGGAATCTGACCCTTAGGAAAGTTTAATAACTTTCCCTACCTCAGAGCAAAGAGGTCTACCCTCATCCAGCCTCATCTCACAGCCAGCATTTTTATAACTGCAGTAGTCACAATTTCTGACTTCAGGGTTTAGAGACCATCTGAGGTCCTGGCTCAACCCCAGAGGCCTGAAATCAGAAGTCCTGGGAGTAAAATCCAGGGTGGAAAAAACAAAAACAAAACAAAACAACAACAACAAAAAACACTTCTGAAAGGAACTGAAGTTGAGGGCATCAAGGTACAGGCTGGGCCCCACTCACACCTGCACCCCACAGCATCTATCTGGTCCACAGACAGCCTCAAATAACCCACACTTCCCTGCACTACTACAGACATCCCTGTACATGCTGCCCTGCATGTAGACACAAACTCTTGGACAAAGGCAGTCCTCTCTGCCGTCCTGTCCAACATGCCCTCATTCTTTGCCCAGTTACTGGTTTCCCTAGAAGAGACATAAGAGACATTGCAGTGGAAGGAAGGAGGAGCCAGAGAGATGCTATGTGAAAGAAGATGCCACACCTCTCCTTGCCCTGGGGTGTAAGCTGTTCAGAGATGTAGGATCAGGTGGGCAAGCCAAGAGCAGAGAAGCACTTTCCAGGTCTAAGTAAGGAGTAGATCTAGACTCAGGCCACGACGGGAGATGGCGGCCCAGGTTCTGGTCGTTTGGTAATTCCTTTCTGACCCGTTTGGGTCAGTGCACCCCAAGGGGTGCTCACAACCTCTCGCTTCCAAAAGGAGTTGTCCCCAAGGGAGGGGCTGCTGAGGCTCTCCTCAGCTCTGGGTTCTCTCGGTGGGAGTCTCCTGCCCTGTGCAGTGAGAGCTTTCCACACTGGCTCTTTCTCCGGTCTGGTGGAGATCGCTAGGCCCAGGGTGTGGGAATCAGATCCATTTTCCAGCAGTCCTATGAAGCTGGGTGCAGGGTGGATCAGAGCAACAGGGACCAAGCAAGAGCTTCTGAGCATGCCAGCTGGGAAAGGGCATGGCTGTGTCTTGAATTGTTGTGGGTGAAGGTGGGGTCTGAACTCCAAGACTGTGGGATGGATGCTCCTTCTGCCACAGAGCTCTTTGGGGAAAAGAGGACTGCTGTTGATTTGAGTCTGGGACCCAGGCCCAGACAAACATTAGCTGGCCCCTCAGCAGCAAGTCCTGGGGACAACCAGCTCTAGGGCGGGAACTCTCCAGCTCTGTTAGCTCCCTTCTCTGCCTTCTGTCAGCCACTTCTCATCTCTGATCTGAGCATGGAGAGGACCAGAGAGACAGCACCCTCTGTCAGCAGCCCTGCTCTGCCTTGTCTGGTCTCTTTCTGCCCCTCCCCAGGTTGCCTGAAGGAAGCTCCTCGGCATTCTATGGGGTAGCTGTTGCCCCCTTGGGTCCAGGATCCTGGAACAGTCTTCAGGAAAAATTTTCAGGATATGATGGAGGTGTTCCGTCAGGTGGCTGCTGAGCACTTGACATGTGGCAAGTGCAGCTGAGCGCATCACTTTCATTTGAGTCACATGTTAGCTCAGGGGTCACACCTGTGATGTCTACCACACTGTGCAGTGTAATTCTAAAGGCCACATCTCCAATCTGGCTGTGCTACATTGTGCTACATTGTGGGACACAGGGTAAAACACTCAGCCTTGCTGGGTCATTTTTTTTCTTCATCTTCAGCATAATAAAGATTTATTTCTTTTCCTTCCCAACTTCAAAGGTAAGGTGAGATCCATATATGGGAAGAATTTAGTAAGGACATGGCCTTGACAATGCAGAGGAATTGCCACCTAAGTGGTAGTAATGATTTAACTATGAAATCAGGTGCTCTTACCTGGAGAGGAGACCAGGGCCACCGTGGCCAGCACCAGCAGCAGCAGGCATGGCTTTTTTCTGGCGGGTGTCCCCATGGTGGGTGTTTTTCAGGCAGAGGCAGAGTCCAGAGGAGAGGAACCACAGCCCAGTTCCCAGAAGTGTCAACTGGAGACTGAGAGGCACCTGAGGAGACAAGATGAGGGCTCTGAGCTGTGATGCACTCTTCTTAGGAGCAAGCACATCTGGTTAGTAATTTGCTTTCCAGCCTGGGCTGCAGAGGAGGAGGAAGGGCTTGGTCCCAGGAGGAAGGGCTTGGCTATTAGCAAGGCTCTCTTCCAGGGCTGGTGCCCCCTGTTGTCCCCCTGGGAGTCTGGCTCTGCCCGGTGCCCCTCCCTCCATCGGGCAGGTGCTGATCAGGAAGTAAAAGCAGGTGGCAAGAACCCACCTGCTGGATTGCCTGCAATCAAGATCCCTCTGTGTCAGGAGGAGATCTGAGAAGGCCGGGCCTGTGCCCAGGTGAGAGGCTAAGGACATCTTTCCCTGGTACCTGGACAACTTCTTCCTGCTCTTCCTCCCACAGCTGTCTGGGAGGGGGCCACTAAACCGCTCTGGAGTTGTGCAGCCTCTGAACCAGGACTGATCTTTCTCAAAATAAGGGAAGCCTTGTGACTTTGCTCCGCCTCAGCCTGGGGTCCCAGGTAAGGCACCTTGGTCCTATCAGCCACACTCCTACCACATGGGTTAACAGTCCAGCAGCTGTCTGTTCTGCCAGCCTTATAAGGCAACACTCAGAGGATCCTCTGTCTACTCTGGGATGGCAGAGGCTTGGTAAAGGCAGCCTGGTAGGTCTCAGAAAGCAGGACAGCCACTGGGGAGATGGGGACCTCATTTGGAGAGGCAAGGGCAGGGACGGGGTCACGTCCCTATTTACTCCCCCTCCCAGGAGCTACCCTCTAGGTGTTGGGGTAAACCTGGTCCCCACAGTCCATTCCTCCCTATCAGAGCTGTGGCAGGGCCGGGGCACCTGGCTGCAGATTGATTCTAACAGCCTGCCCTGCCCTCCTGCCTGAAGAAGGCCCAGGGCAAGGCAGGGCTTTCCTCACTAACTGGCTTTGCAGCCCTGCTGTCTCCATCTGTGTCCTCAATGAGATTGCTCTTGTTCGGGTCCTTCAGCTCTGGCTCCCTGGCACTTCCTGAAAGAGCAGAGCCAGGACCCCTGCCCCTCGGGCCAAGAAAGAAGACTGTGTAGATGAATGTGGGCTCAGGGTGTGCCTCACCTCACTCCCACTCTACTCACAGAAAAGCTCTCCGGCCCTCCTCCACCTGGGCTCCTGCTACCTTTCCTGCTTCCAGCAACCAAAAGGCAAGGAACAAGGGCCCTGGGCCTGCAGGGGTATGTGGCAGGGATACCCAACAGAATTAAGAAGCAGGGCTTAGGGATCAGAGCAGAAGCACTCCCTCCCGTGTGACCTCAGCCTCATATTCTCTGCTTCTTATCCAAAAGTGTGTCCCTCTGTCAATCCCCAATCCCCCACCTCCATTCTTGTTACTCTCAGTTCTGTACCAAAGCACAGACATTTGGCATCTGTAGATTCCTCATCATCCACAGTGGCCCCTGCTTGCTCAAATTCATTTCTCTCTAGGTAAGGTGATCCCATGCTGCAGAGCACTGTTCACACCTCGCCTGCCTGGAAGCACCCACAATGTCCCAGTCTGAGCACAGAATTCAGCCCTTGATCAGCAACAGCTCCTGCCTGTGGAACTGTTTGTCTCCAATGGCAGAGCCGCAGTCCCCCAACTGGAGAGGCTGTAGCCTGTTCGTCTTTAGAGCACGTACCCAGCAAAATGTGTGGCACATAATATATGTTTCTTGTGTGTCACATTCAACTAATTGAGAACTGCTGTGGTCATGCAGCTTCAGGATCCAGTGGACCCACGTGACACATATGACCATACACATGTAATCACAACGGAGCTCAACATACAGCTGAAGAGGCTAGAAAGTCTTCCGTACTTTGTTGGGCAGCCCAGGCCAAATGGTACATATGCCCACACTCACATATACATGTTGGCAAACAGAGCAAGGTCTCCAGGTCAGCAGGGCATCCTGGAAATCTCACAAGCACACCTCTGGATGCCTCACAAATGTGGGTCATTGTCCTCAGCACAGGGAGGCCCTGGCTCAGTTTGGAGCCCCCACCTGAGGATTGGGAAACTGATAGCCAGGAGTTCGTAATGCTCTTTTCTTTTCATAAAGATTGATTTTATTTATTTTTAATTATGTGTATTTGTGTGGGTATGCAGATACTGGACAAGGGTGTCAATACCCCTGGAGCTGGATGCTGGGAACCTAGCTTAGTTTCTTGAAAGACTCGTAACCCTGACCTCGTCTCTTTACAGGTTTGTGGGCTCAAACAATTTAGTCACCCTGATGGAGCCTCAATTTCCCCATCAGCAAAATGGGGATTATGTGAGCATTACCTAGTGGTGCTGTGGCAACACACGTTATCACTTGTACTGGCTATCAAGTAGCTGTGAAGCCTCGGAGCCATCTGGACGTGTATCAGTCTCCTATGGGGAGGCAGATGCCCTCTTCTCCTGCCTCCAGCTCTTCTGGTATCCACTTCCTGCTCTTGACTTTACCAGGAGGCTTCCTTGTTGAGAAACTTGAAAATCATCCCTGTGACTGGGGAATTGTGAACTCACATCTGACACAGAGAGGCTGCCCATTGTTCACTCCTGCCATTTTTCAGCCATCTAGGGCTGGAGCTCTCAGTTCAGGCGCAATGGGCTAGCCTGGGAGGAGCTTGGGCTGTGGGCTTATCCTGAATACACCAGCACAGGGCAGAGACAAAGCCTCCACCCTGGAGCAGTCAAGATTTTGTTTTGTCTTTCTGGTGAGGGCTATAGATTATGGATAATCCAATCCTACAATAAGTATTAAACTTGAGTTTAATTCAAGATTTTTATCACCCATGCACCCACCTGGCCTAAATGCCCTAGGTGGCCTCTAGGAACTAGGATTTTAGAGGAGGCTTTAGAGGAGATGTATGTGGAATGAGGAGGATGTGGGTTTTCCCCTGGGACAAACTGTACATTAGTCAGTGTGATCAGATATATGTTGAGCCCCATCATCCTGTGTAAACTAGCAAGAGCCCACATTCAAGTGTGGAGTGAAGGGTGGGGCTTTCTGCCTCCATGAAGGTGAGGTAGCCAGTATCCATCCATTCATATTTCTGTGTGTGCATGTATGTGCACATGCAGTGTGTGTGTGTGTGTGAAAGTCTCTCTGTGCCCTGAACCCATAATCCTCCTGTACCAGCCTCTCAAACACTGGGATCCAGGAATGTGATCCCATCCAACCCTATTACGGTGCTCAGTGACCATGTGCCAGGCACTGTGCTGAGCACAGGGGAAGCAGGAACTGAAACACTTCCTTTCTGGCCCTCCCTGGCTAGCTGACAGCAGCCACAAGATATACTTTCAACTTCAGAGATCGGTCATCTCCCCACACCATCTGCCCTATGACATGTTCTAGGAGGCCCAGGATGGAGAGGGCCTTTATGTCACATTGAGACTAGAGTGGAGATATGCCAGGCCCAGATTGGCCCTGCCAGCTCTGAGCTAGCCAAGCCTTGCCCCGGCCAGCTGCTCTGGTACAGGGGTGCAGGCACAGGCTGTCACAGTCAGGCACAGGCTGTCACCGTCAGGGGGCTGGTTCTGTGAGGTACTAGCACACGGGGGAATAGGCCATTGGAGGTTCAGGGAGGCTGGCTGAAGTTTCCAGTCCAGGAAACAAAGGCTGAGGGGAAGGACAGCTTGGAGACAGTAGACTATGAGCTAGACTTCAGCACGTAACAGGGTTTCCCAGTACACAAGCCAGCAGGTATTTTACTGCTCCTGGGAGGCTCAGCTCTGGCCCCAATTCTTCCCTTTCTTAGTCAATGAGGTTGGAGAATTAAAGGGTGTGGTAGTATTGCATACAACATGGTAGAAGCAGGGGCTTGGAGCATGGTATAAGACAGAGAGACAGACAGACAGAGAGATCTAGGGTCAACATTTAACATATTGCAGGAGCCTCTTGTATGCTCACCTCAGCCTCCACCATGGAGCATGTCTCAGGGGTTAGGAGGTAGGTTATTGAGCATCCCTACCTATTTTACTAGCTAGTATCTCTGAGTTCCTGCTGTCAGTAACTGCCCCCAGGATACCTACACACTACACCGGCATGAGTCAAGCTTGCTGACATAGTTTTGTGCTAATGGCAAAGACACCTGCCACTTACCTCCTTTTCCTCACATTTCACAGGTGCAGTGTAATGAGGCAAACTCCAGCAATCCTTCCAGACTATGGCACCAAGATATCCCACTGGCAGACTTGTACCTAACACCATGTGTTCATGGCCTGGATGTGCCAGTGGCTCTCTCAATGATTTTCTCTCATGCACCCAACTCCTGCCTGGGACAGAGGGAGACTGAGCTCAACACCTGTCCTCTGCTTAGCATGCAGGTCACTACCTGGCAGGACCATCAGAGCCCAGGAGGGTCTCAGTCACCACAGCTGGCTGGGAGGACAGAGCTCTAAGCAGAGGTGTGGAGGATGCTGGGTGTGTGTGTGTGTGTGTGTGTGTGTGTGTGTGTGTGTATGTGTGTGTGTGTGCCAGGGCAGGCACACTGGATGGGGGGAAGGCCTGAAGTAGAGAGGTGCTTGAGTGGGCATGTGGATGGGATAGGAACCTACAGCTCCAAATGAGAGAGGGTGGAAGTCCTAAGTCCCATTTTCTCAGCAGGCATGGCTCTTTGTGTTTCAGTTGGCTCCCAAGGCATCAGTGCTGATAAATCCCATGGGAGGTACTGTGATTCCCAGGTTCAGGGTTCTGTACAGACCTTTAGCACTGAGTTGGGAAGTCTGGCCCTTGGTCTGCAGCCTGGAGTGCACAGTGAAGAGACCCTTCAGAGTTAAGAGGCCAAAGCATGAGGGACTTAGGTCTTCTTGGGAGAAAGTGTGGGAGTAGGGTCCAGCCATCCCAGACCAGTAGTGTGGGGCAGCAAGCAAAAGCCTCGGGTCTCACATCCTACTGTTTTTTTCATTAGTGGGACCAAACCAAACCTAGAGTCTCACATATGCAAGACATAAGTGCCTTTCTACTTCACCATACCCGCAGTCTTTGGAAAGATCCTTTGTGAAACTGGAGGATCACGAACAGTTGCTTCAACTTGTTCCCAAAGGAAGGAGAGGCTCTCACGCATTAGCAGGTCAAATTTTGCATGCCTACTCTCTCTACTGAGAGGAGACTTCTTATTCCCACCCTATGACCCTTCCCTGCTTCCCAGATCCCAGACAGTTTTCTTGCAGGCTGGTGGAGAGCAGAAGCCTGTGCAGGTGGAGACCTCAAAGCCCTGGGGATTGACAGGCATTGAGATGAGACAGCCTCGCTCTGGGGAAGGCTCTATGGTTTTGAATCCAATTGGATGCCCGTAAACAGGGCATGGTTGACCTCCACAGGTTAGAAGGAGAGATGATTGAGATGGACATTGGGGTATATTCTTGCCTGGCTGATGCTCAAGGTCCAGGGTGAGGACACTGAACACCTTTACTCTTCGTTGTGCCTTGTTTAGTAGACAAAGAAACATGGACTCATTTTGTAGCAAGGACTCATTAAACCACAGAAAGAACTCTTTCCTCCAGGAAGGTGAAATCATCCCTGTGAATGTTCCAAGTTAGCAACAGCCTGGGGGTTTTGGTCTAGAAGAGAGACAGTGGTCTTCCTGAAGACCCAGAAATGCCAGCACTTCAGAGAATAAAAAGGATGTCCTCATTAACCATTTGAAAGAAGATGGCCTTAAGCTGGAAGAAATGTACCTGTCATCCAGCCTAACCTCTGCCACTAGGCATGACTGTCTCAAGTCTCAGACTCAACACTGACCCCAGTTCTGCAGCCATCTTTATAGTCATGTGACTGGAGTTTGCCCTATGGTTCAACTTTCTGCTCAGAAATACCTTCTATTGTCTAATCTAAGTGCCTCATACTTCAGTGGCCCATTCTTTGCTCTAGTTCTTCCCTTTGTGCTGATAAGCCACTTCATACCTGATTCTGTCGTTCCACTCCAAGGGTCTCTCCAAAAATACAAATAGCACCCTTATCCATGCTTAGAGATTGGCTTTGAAATGTTTTCTCACCATTGTTGGGCTTGAGAAACATCCTGGCAGAGGGACCTTGTGCCCTTCAAGCCCTCCCAAATTCATGGCTGAAGAGTATCCACCTAGAAGCTGGTTGAGGTGCAGCTTAAAGAACATGCAGTCCTTAGGAAGGAGCTGTTCAAGACAGTGCGTACAACTGTCCAGTGGACCACAGCTGACACACTGTCTCTCCACTTAAACAATGGCAGGAAGAGGAGGGTCATCAGGGATGAAGTCCAGGGGTAGAGTTGGGGCCAGAACCTGAGCAGTACATGCTTTGTGGTAGGAGATGCAAGGAATGGCTTGGCCTTGTGAGGACAGAGGAAGGGAAGAGATCAAGCAGCACCTTCAGTGGCCCCGCCTCCCTAGGCAGTTCTTTCTACCCAAACCCTCACTTCAGTGGCTTCTGACAAGAGGGACCACAGGAGCCTCCTCTCTGTCTCATCTCCTGCCTGCCTCTAAATTAGCTGAGCTCTCCCCCATGAGACAGTAGGAAGGACTTTGACCTTGTGAGAGAAGCACTGAGTGGTTCTGCCTGAACCTGAGCCTGAGCCTGAGCCTGGCTCTTTAGAGTTAGCCATTGGGGCCTCTGGGAGGAGCTGAAAGCTCCTGACTCTGAGGCAGCCCTGAAACACAACACCTGTTTTAACCACTAGACCATTTTCCTCCCCAACCCCTGCAGCCTCATCACATTTGACCCTCCCGCAGGTGGTCTACTCTCGCTAATGTATCCGGTCCCTTTGAGCAGGACCTAGGACTGGTGGTAGATCATCTCAGAGGCTAAGTGGATGATGGGTCATCTAATAGAGGGTTGGAGGATTGCCTGAAATAGTTGCCTAGATGAGCTCAGGACCAGGTTATGTGGACAGTTCCTCCTCCTGCCTCCTTAGCAGAAGGGATTGGTGTTCAAACCTACCCTTGCGCAGGCCTGAGGTCATTGCATGCACAATCACTCTGTGCTGGTCACACTAATTACAAAAGTACTAACAACTCTGGCAGCTTTACCCTGAAGATAGGAGGAAAGCTCAGCTCCCCCTGCCTCCCAGGGGTGGGGGAGGGCCAGAGCTTTAGGATCTAGGCTGCCTGTGTGCCTGTGTGCCCATGTTAGCCCCTTCCCCCCCAGCGCTGCAGCCAGTCTTGGGAGAAGTGACAGACACTCCCTGGCTGGTGCTGCTTTCTCCTGCAGCCCATTACATAAGCCATGGGGCTAGGCAGAGGGGTTGCCCCCTCTCTCTAGAATCCCCTGGAAAGCCAAACTTTGAGCAAATCCTTCCCTCCTACCAGTGAGGCTGAGGGGGAGGGCTCTGAGGAGACAAGGTTGAGGAGGGAGGAGGGGAAAAGGAATTGCACGCTACATTCCAGTCTCACCCTTGGGATATGACTTGCGTCAGTTTCTCTCCCAAGTTCCAGCTCCCGGACAGCCTTTGCCCAAACTTGTGTTCTGTTCTTGCCTCTCTTCTATAGCCTCCCTAGTCCAGCAGAACCAAGACTTTGCAAAGAGGTCACTGGGCAAAAGCAGCCCCCAACATGACCTCGAATTTGGGAACTCAGGCTCAGGTCTATCTAGGAATTTCTAGGGACAGACCAGGGCCTGGCCTTACAGAGCTGTTTGGCCCTGGCTGGGGTCCAGGGCAGGCCCAGGAGCCCCTGCCTTTTTGGCAGGCAGTTGCCGCTGCCTGCTTGGATTTCTGGACCCTCCTGGGGGCCTTGCAGAATGCCACCCACCTAGACAGGATCGGGAAGAGCCTGAGGGCTCGCCACTGTAGGGCGGGGGTGAGAGGTCAATCAGCATCCAGCCTGCTGCGTGTCCCTGTTCCCTCCCAAGTTTCAAGGAAGACATTTAATGAGGACTGAGCTCGGAGCCCCTCCTGAAACAGCACCCCGAGAAGCCCCTGGACTGGAACAGACAAAAAACGATAGGCACCTACCTGGAGTGCGGGAAGGGTGTTGGTTGGGGCAGTGCTGCGGGCGCCTGGTGAGCAGACCCTGCTGCCAGCCTCAGGGCTGCTCGGCCCTGCCGGCCTTAGCCACTGGCTGTCCTGGCGCGGCGGCAGCGGCCGACGGTGCTATGTGTGTGCGCGCTGGAGCCACTGCAGCATCTCTGCATCAGGATGCGCTCCTCCCTCTCGCAGGCTCCGCTTACTGGCTGGCTCGGCTCCTCAGCCAACGCTCGGCCGGAGATGGCTTCCTCAGCCCCCTCCCATCCCGCCGTCCCCACCCTCCTGGCTCTACCTCATTTGCTGTCATTTAAGAACCAGGGAGCGAGCCAGAGGCCGCCGTCTTGACCAGCTCGGTGCCCTGCCCAGAGATGCAGAGGGGTGCGCTGAAGGGGCACACAAAAAGTGTCTCTTGCTTTTGAGATCCTGACCACACATGAGCACCAGGCTTCTTGCTTCTCTCCTTCCCTAATCCCTTGTTAGAGAATGGGATCAGCAGCAAACCTCCAATTTTCTGTGTAGGGCAGCTGTGATGGAGGGGTCAGCCTCTATCACCCCTGTCACGTTTTCTCTTCCTTGTTTTTGCCCAGAAGTAACATGATTTTTTTTTTTTTGTCAAAATGGTCAAACCGTAAGAAAAATTAAAAATAGAGAAAGTCTTCAACATCCATTCTTAACAAATTTGAATACCCCCCTCTAGATTTATATTTTTCACTTGCATTTACATGGGTTATGAGAACTATTTTATGACAGTGGAATCACAAAATACGTCATAATTTGCAATATATATTTAACTATATCACTGAGCGTGGACACCTCCGTGTGCCAGTGCACCCAGAGGTAGCCCATTTTCAACCAGCAAATAGCGGGGCTTCGTGAGAAGCCCATGGGACTGAAATCAGTGTACCTGACGGGTCCACTCTGTGCTTTGCTCTTGATAGACTGTGTGAGTTTGGCTAAGTGCCTCGCCTCCTTTGAGCCTCACTAGTAACCTAAAAGAGTTAAAGATGGCCAAGACCTGTGCTAGCTCTGAGACTCCAGGTGTTCACCCTGGGTGGTAGCATGCCTCTTCTGCCCTCCTGCTGTTACGTATGGACTCGCCGGGGAGGACTGAAGCCTGTAGGCAGAGGGCTCAGCCATCTGCAGCCCCAGTCAGCCCTGACAGGCCGTCACCATTGCCTCACCCCACTCTGCTCTGCCTGCTGTCCAGGGCAAAACTGGCTAGTGGCCCAGATGCTGCAACAGCTGGTGAGGCTGGCCACCTTGAGCTTTAAGTGCTATACCTGTCAAATATGAACATGGCTCCTGTCTTGCTGACTGGCAGGTGGCTGTGGGCCTGGAGAAGAGTAGAGATCCAAATGCTTGCCAGGGACTTATGCCTTTATGCCTGTCTCCTTTCAGTGCCCCTCCCAAGGGCGAGCATACCTCGGAAGCACAGCTGTTTTTTTTTTGTTGTTGTTGTTCTGGTACAGAGATGCCTAAACTCTATTAAGCTGTTTCTCATGCAATTTTGACAAGACAAGGCACACTCACCTCCCCCAGGGTGGCCTGCCCCTGATATCATGGTCCTGTCTGTCTGTCTGGGGGCAAGTATGCTGTCCCCAAGGTCCTGAGGTATGTCACATAGCTAACACCTCCCAACTCAGCCTTGCTCTACCCAGAGGCTCTGCAAGGTGTCTCCAGCAGAAGACAGTAGGGCAGGTCTTTGCCAAACAGGGTGGCATGTCGACTGCTGTGGGGCTGATGAGCTGTGGGGCTGATGAGCCATGGGGCTGGAACTGCTTGCAGAATTGTTTAGATGGAGACAGCTGTCTCTGCGGCTCTACTTTAGGACAACTGCTGCCTTTGTGATGGGTACCAGGTCTCTGGTAGAGGGTCATTAGTGTCAGCAAATTTGTTCTCAACGACTCTCTCATATCCCCTTCCAGCCAGCCTGCCCCACTGCAGGTGGATCCTGACAGGCAGAGTGGAAACAAAAACATTTACAAAGGGAGGACCTTGGTTTAGAAAGACAGGTCCCAAGTTTGCTTTTTCATCTATGCTCAGCTGAGCCTGCTCCAGGTCAGTTGCAGGGTGGGCAGCACGGATCTTTAGTGTTAGCCCCTGGCATGCTCTTATTCTGGAAGTGCCCGAGGTAGGCATGGAAGGATGAGCTTTGTCATGGGCTCCATTAGTTTGATAATAGCAGAAGCATTGTCTGTCCCCAGAAGGCCAGCAGCTGTACTAAGAGCTTTACCCAACACACTTATCTAGGAGGTACCTGTGTTATTCTCCTCTTGCTCCTCCTCCTCCTCATTTCAGCAGTGATGCTGGCCACATGCAGCTAAAGAAGCAGAACATCTGATCTGTAGCTCCTGGCTTAACTCTTTGCTGAGGATGCCAGCTGTCTGTGGGTAAAGGGGATACAAAATGGAGGGCAGGATCATTTCCTGATGGGGATGCCTGTCAGAGTCTGGAATCCTCAGTGTGACTGACCATTAGGACCAACTTTTTTTCACTCATGGAGAATCAATCAAATTCTGAGATGTCCAGGGCACCCGATCTTCAAGTTGCGTCTCCACAGAGTCCCAAATGGGGTGAAAAAGGGCCAGCTGAAGATAGCAAAGTGGCTAATCAAACAGCCACTGTTTTGACTGTAAACATTTAGTGCCCCCCTGGGGAGCCTCAGGAGGCATTCTGAGGACCATCCAATCCTTCCAAGACCATCTGGTCTTCTCTGCCTTAACCCTACCAGATCAATAGCACTGGAGTTCCAAGGACCTCCATCAGTCCACAGGAGCCCTGCTCCGTCCCAGGGACGAGGGAGAAGGATGAAACCTAGCTATGGCCTCTTGGCACTGGCAGCTTTGCATTCTCTTACCTCACCAGAACCATGTCGCTCTCTCCTCTCCTGGCTTCTCTAAGCCAGAAACAGAGATGCCTCCGGTTGTAAATACTACACCCTTTTCTGGACTCCTAGGAGGTCCTGCATGGCTACCTCGAATGGCAGGGCATCAAGAACCAGAGAATGTGGTCTAATTTTTTTAGAAGCTCTCTTCTGTAGTATGTGACTGTCCATCCATAGTCATAGCGATGTGGCAGCAAGACACGGAAGACAGACCTTGCTCCACCTTGCTTCTGAGCATCTGTGTAACCATGGACAAGTGACTTGCCCCCATCTGAAAATAGAGGTCAGCATGTACACCCAGAGCTGTTGTCAGCATAGACAAGAAGGAACTCACTTGGTGGGCTTTCCCTTGACCTTTCTGGAATGGCCCAACTGTAGAACAAGTACCATGATGAGGGACATTTCTTGCTTTCTCCCTCTCCACTGCAATGAACAGAGTGGCTGTAGCTCTGCCACTCAGAACAGACTGTCCCAACTAGGCAACTCCTACCTGGATGATATTAGGCAGGCCACTGAATAAGACTTGATTGTTCTAAGATTCTATCCTTCTTAAAAAGCAAATAAGCAAGTTAAAAACAAAACCCAGGGTCTCTAAGCAGTCCAGCCTAGCTTTGACCTGCATATGTGCCTAGGATGACCTTGAAATTGTGATTCTCCTGCCTCTATCTTCCTAGTGCTGGAATTACAATTGTGACCATCACATCGATTCTATTTGGTATTGCACAGAGCTCTGTGCAGGCATGGCAGGCACGGCAGGCACTCCCTCAGTGGAAATCTATTTACAGCTTTCATCCCTATAATCCATTCAGGAAAATGGGAAGAATTTTATTTCTCTTTAGGATGGTAGAGTGGCTGTAGGGTTTAACCAGTACATTTCTTTTCTTCCTTCCTTCCTTCCTTCCTTCCTTCCTTCCTTCCTTCCTTCCTTCCTTCCTTCC